ATGAGAAGGAAAATTGATTCAAGTGAAGTGTAGCAAGCAGGGGTAAAAAGTAGTGAAGTTCTTTCCATGGGTAAAGTTATAGGGTCAGAGTCTCACTGCATATTTGTTAATTTTACTGATTAACTCTTAATAAAGAGATTATCTTGCATATCACGTCCTACTCCTGGTCCAAAATACATTCATAGTCCTTTGATCTTTGTAGAAACAAGGTCTTTCCATCTGAATCCCCTGGGATTTATGTGGATCTCTGGTATGGCCCATGCATCTTACTGTGATGTCATTAAAAATCAGAATAAAACAGAGCTAACCTGAGCAGGGTGCTAGTGGCTCATGCCTGTAATTCTAGCTAAGAGGAGGCTGAGATCTGAGGATCACAGTTCGAAGTCAGCTCAGGCAAGAAAGTACATGAGACTCTTATCTCCAATAAGCTACTCAGAAAAAGCTGGAACTGGCACTGTGGCTCAAGTGGTAGAGCACTAGCTTTGAGTACAGAAAGACTCAGGGATGGAGCCCAGGGCCTGAGATCAAGTCCTAGGACTGGAAAAAAACCTAAGAAACAAAACCCCCCAAAACCCATAACAACAAAAAACAGCTAATCAGTCCCCAGTTTTGTTGGGAGTAGAGAAAGTGGCCACATGCTTTTATTGTAGAGGATTTTTTTTATGGACACCAAGCTATATTCCAAATGAGAGATCATAGGACTTCGGATTGTCCATTAGAAAATAAATAGTCCCAGTATTGACTATTAAATAAAAGATATTTTATGAATGGAAACTGCTTTTGTTTAACTTGAGTGTCATGAGTTAATACTGGCTTTCTGGTTTACTAGTCAAACAAGACCATTCAGGCAAAATTCTGTGTTTTCAGTAGGTATTAAAGAATGAATTAGATATGGCTCCATTTAGGGTAGGAAAGTATGTTAGAAAATTCAAAGGAGAGACAAGTAATTTTCTCCTTAAACATGTTTGTGTCTTTTTTAAATAAGTCTTTTATTGTGAAAATACTGTACAGAGGGGTTACAGTTACATGAGCAAGGTAATGAGTACATTTCTTATCAAGCATTGTTGCCTCATCCTTTGTTTTTCCCCTCCTTTTTTCCCCCTACCATCCCTTCCCTCCCACCTCCACAACTACACTCCCCTGCCCCTGCCTAAATTGTAAAGTTCGTTTTTTGACATAGCATCTTGTACATCTCATTGTTGCAATAGGTCCACCTGTATCCCTATTTAAACATTTTGTTCTTTATTTTCCCCTCTGCAAATTATACCAACATCAAATACAGTGAAAACAGGGGTTATACCGTGGGGGAGAGACATACAAAGCAACAAAAAAAATCACATGATACCTTATAAATACATTAGAAACAATAGCAAGAAAGAAAAAACAACTTGTGTCCCTATCTTGGGGTTCATTTCACTTAGCATCATCTTATCTGGTCATATGTACATAGCTTTTGACCTTTTCTACTTGTCCCAGATATATACTAGTTATTGCAAATAATGGAAACCATGGGACCTAAAACATTTATTTCTTTGATTTTTTCCCTTCAAAATTAATCTTTTTGGCTCATTTTAAAATATATTGCTTTTCTTCTCAAATGATAAAACATTCAAATTTATCTAGATTAGTATGTTTTGGAGTCTTCTGATTGTTTCCTGTCTTTAAAATTGATCAATTAAGCAAGTAACACTGGGCAAAGAATTAGGTGAACTTAGCTATATTCCTATCTAGGTTGTTAACTTTGTATGGATTTTTAAATTTTTTCTTCTCTGGGCTTCAATTTTTCTGTAAAGTGAGGAGGTGAATTAAATAAACTATAGATTTTATGAAAATAACTAGCCTCATTAGATTCAGACGATAATGTATTGAATAAAATAATAAGCACTGAATGACAGATTTATTTATTTATTTATGTTTAATTCTGAAAATACCATACAGAGGGGTTACAATTGCATGTGCAAGGTAGTGAGTACATTTCTTATCAAGCATTGTTGCCTCCTCCTTTGTTTCCCCTTACCATCCCTTCCATTTTTTTTCTTGTCCTAGTACTTAAACTCAGGCCCCGGGCTCTGCCACAGTGCCACTTCTGGCTTTTTGTGAGTGGTTTATTGGAGATAAAAAGTCTCACGGACTTTCCTGCTCAGGCTAGCTTCAAACTGCTATCCTCAGATCTCAGTCTCCTGAGTAGCTAGGATTATAGGCCTGAGCCACCAGCACCTGGCTGAATGACATATTTTTTATAAAACTGAAAGTGTACTTATAATACATGAAGAGACCTCAGGGATTACCTGAGTCCAGTTTTTCCCAAGCTTCAGTCACTTATGTGCCATCTTCATGATTTTTGTCATATTTCTGTCTTTTTGTATTACCAAGACTATTATTTAATGTTGTCTATACTGGCTTCATTTCTTTTTTTTTATTGTGAAAATACAGTAAAGAGGGGTTACAATTACATGGGCAAGATAATGAGTATATTTCTTATCAAGCATTGTAGCCTCCTCCTTTGTTTCCCCTTCCCATCCCTTCCCATTACCTCCCCCTTCATGCCAAAGTTGTAAAGTTCATTTTCAGAATAACATCTTGTACATCTCATTGTTGCAATGGGCCCACCTGTATCCCTATTTAAACAATTTGTTTTTTCCCTTCCCCTCCACAAATTATACCAACATCAAATACAATGAAAACAGGGACATACAAAGCAACAAAGAAATCATCTTATAAATATGTTAGAAACAATAGCCAGAAAGAAAAACCATTTGAGTCCTTATCTTGGGGTTCATTTCACCTAACATCAACTTATCTGACCGTTCTGCTTGTCTCAGACATATATTAGTTATTGCAAATAAGGGAAACCATGGGACCTGTTTCTTTGGGCCTGGCTTACTTCACTTAATATAATTTTTTCCAAGTCTTTCCATTTCTTAACAAATGGGGCAATGTCATTCTTTCTGATGGAGGCATAGAATTCCGTTGTATATACATACCACGTTTTCTTGATCCATTCATCTACTGAGGGGCATCTGGGTTGGTTCCATATCTTAGCTATGGTAAATAATGCTGCAATAAACATAGTTGTGCCGGTAGCTTTAGTGTGGTCTTGTCCAAAAGTGGGATTGCTGGGTCATAGAGGAGCTCTATGTGAAGTCTTTTGAGGAACCTCTATACTACTTTCCAAAGTGGTTGAACAAGTTTACACTCCCACCAACAATGCAGTCTCATCTAAGCAATACTTATTCAGGAAGCCATATTTTTTTGTTTTAGATACATCTCTCTAAAATATATTAAAATGAATAGGTTTGATTTTAGATACCACCTAAAGGCATTTTCATACTTTGGGAAACATTGTTCTGGTTCCTTGTTCATACGTGAAAACTAAAGGTTAGAGAGATTAAATATCTTTGTTTCTTATCACAAAGCAGGTTACCATGGAGGCATGACTAGAGGACACCTGTTACAGTCAGAGACAGAGTTGTGGCCAAAACCCAGGTCATTTGACTCCTAGATCAGGTCACTTTCTATCATATCATGATGTTCTCACAGTTGCCATTAAGATCTAAGGTTCTTTAATGGAGATGGGATTAGAATCCAGATCTTTCTTTCTTTTTTGGGGGGGGGGTCCAGTCCTGGGGCCTGAACTCTGGGCCTGAGCTCTGTCCCTCAGCTCTTCAGCTCAAGGCTAGCGCTCTACCACTTGAGCCACAGCGCCACTTCCGGCTTTTTTCTTTTTGCTTATGTGGTGCTGAGGAATCGAACCCAGGGCCTCAGGCATGCAAGGCAAGCACTCCACCACTGAGCCACCTTCCCAGCCCAGAATCCAGATCTTAAGTGTAGTAAATTCTAACAATAATAACAAATGAATATTTATAGCTTCAGATAAGTTATTCAGTCTCTTAGGATCTAAATTCTCTTATTTGACATGGGGAGAAAGATTGACTAAGGACTTCCTAGGTTGTTGCTGGGTCATGTTCCTTCCTCACAACACCACTAAGAGAGGATGGCATGTGGTGATTTCACAGATAAGTTTCTGCTGTGAAACTATATAGCTCAAACAGAATAAATCCAAATTTGCTTGCCTAAAGAATATATGTGTTTTAACTTTTGGAAAACCAGATGATCTCAGTAAGTTAGATTAACTCGAATAACCAGCTTATAAAATAGTTTAAAAAATGATGAATTGAAGCCGGGCATCGGTGCTTATGTCTGTAATCCTACCTATGCAAGAGGTTGAGATCTGAAGGTCAAGGTTCAAAGCCAGCCCAGGGCAGAAAAGTCCATGAAACTCTTATCTCCAATTAACCACCAGAAATCTGGAAGTGGCACTGTGGCTCAAGTGGTAGAGCACTCGCCTTGAGCTGAAGAGTGCAGGGACAGTGCCCAGGCCCAGAGTTCAAACCCCATGACCACCACCAACAACAACAAGATGAATTGCCCATTGGACATCTGTGTTCTATATGAAGAGTTTCCCCCATGTAGACTCAAGACGGAGCATCTTAATCTCCTGACCCAAGTTTAGGAGCTTCTCTCAGCTCTAGTTGTCCCCTCCTGTAGACATTTGAATTTGTCTAGGCAATGCGTTTAGTTTTCTGATTATTTTCTATCTTTAACTGGCCAATTAAGAAAGTAACACTGGACGAAGAATGAGGTGAGCTGCGTTACACTCCTATCTCAACTATTCATTTTGTATACATTTCAAAAACTTTTCTGGGCTTCAGTTTGCTCTGTAAAGTGAAGGGAGTAAATTTGAAGGGATTGGCATACCAATCCCTGCCCTGATGACATCACAGAGCTGCCTGGAGGCAAATGAGGTAATGTCTGAGAATAATGGTACAAAAATTAAATGTCCTACTGAGTTGAATCTTGGCCTCAGGAAACTGTTTGGTGTGGAGGAAATATATCGCTTCTTATTAAAGGTAATGTGAACAGAAGGAAATTTCAGGTAGCTTATTCTTGTTCTGGATATTCTCCACTTCTCATTTCTGTTATTTTTTTTTCTGTCTTAGATTTACTATTCTGAAGGTGGACAAGCTTCAGCCATGGGGCGATTTAAAGATCGAATTGTAGGGTCCACTGATCCAGGTAATGCGTCTATTACTATCTCGGATATGCAGGCATCAGACAGTGGAATTTATATCTGCGATGTTAACAACCCACCAGATTTTGTCGGCATAAACCAAGGCATCATCAATGTGACTGTGTTAGGTATGAACATTTTTTTCCTGCCTTCTCCACCTCTCCTTAGAACAACTTAGAACACTTGAGTGAACTATGCCAAATAAGTCTTTGGGAATAAATATCTTTCTTCTTCTTTTATTATTGGGAAATAGAGACATGTCCTATTTACCTACAAGGTAAATCACTCATGAAACATATAGAAATAATTGCCAAAGCAATAATACTGCCAAAATGACAACAGTAGATGATCTAACCACCAGGTGTCCCTATGTCTGAATGTTACAATGAGATAACCAATCCACTGTCCCAATAAATAATCACTAGTAACTTCTAGGGGGAACTTCCAGTTATAGCCACTTACCTAGAGGAGCTGTCAATTTGTTTCCTTTTCCTACCATTAAGTCATTCTTTCAAATGGAAGCAGGTGGGTACTTAAAAATGCTAATGCTGGACTAGCTGAAGGGTTCAAGCAGGAAAGTACGGGAATTCAACTCCCCTAAAATGCTAGTACTATTTAGGAAAGGGGCCTACACCCATTGTTGAGAATTAAGTAATCTGTATATTCATTTTGTAACGTTGGGTAAATCATATCTTCTCTTAAAATGAGTTTGGAGCAGTTCCTTTATTGGGTATTTGTTGAGTGCCTACTTTGTGCCAGGAGAAATAAAATTTGTAATGAGGGAGGTATGGTTTCTGCTCTTGGAGCAGGGATTCTTCCAATGTCTGAGAAGGAAATGGGGTCTTAGCCCCTGTCTGCAGGTCCTGGGGCTGGGAAGTACAAAAAGGAGGGGGAAAAGGGCTGACAACTTATATTGACTAACCAGTTCATTAAACATGGTTAGGTTGGGATGACTGATCTAGTTATTATCCTCTCAACCTATGTATTTGCATCACAGAAAAGAGGGAACTAGATCAAATCAGTGACTAGACAGTTGAGTCACTTAGAAAGGCAGGAAAACAATTTATAATTATCTTGGCTTGCTACCAAGATGGATACCCAAAAGGAACTAGCTTGTGTTTACTACGAGGTTTTCCATTGCAGCTACCCACATAGAAGAAGGGACTGGTGCTCAAGAACTAATGTTTAAGGGTGACTTAGAGCCGGGAGCTGTTTGCTCACGCCTGTAATCCTAGCTACTTAAGAGGCTGAGTTCTGAGCATCATGGTTCAAAGTCAGTCCGGGCAGGAAAGTCCATGAGACTCTTATCTCCAATGAATCACTGGAAAACAGGAAAATACCGGAAGTGGCACTGTGGCTTAAGTAGTAGAGTGCTCGCCTTGAGCTGAAGAGCTGAGGGACAGCACCCAGGCCCAGAGTTCAAGCCCCATGACCAAAAGAAAAAAAAAGTGAGTTAGAGTCAGGTGCTCGTGGCTCATGCCTACAATCCTAGATATTCAGGAGGCTGGGATCTGAAGATCATGGTTTGAAACCAGCCACAGCAGGGAAGTCCACGAGACTCATCTCCAATTAACCGTTAAAAAGCCAGAAGTAGAGGTGTGGCTCCAGTGGTAGAGTACTAGCTTTGAGCACAAAAGCTCAGGGACAGTGCCCAGGCCCTGAGTTCAAGCCCTAGGACTAGCATACACACACACACACACACACACACACACACACACATACACACGAGTGGCTTAGCTCAACCCATTGTATTTTATTGTATTGAGTCCTTAGACATTCAGGTGTAATGGCACACTTGGGAAATATTACTCCAACACTTTCTGAGATAGTTTATACTGTAGTTTGGAAGACCAGTCATATACATAAGAACAAAATGATATGGTTTAAATCCCAAAACATCAAGCTCAGAGTAGGCCTTATTCTGTGCTCAATGACTTCATGCAAATCAGTCTACCATTCTTTGGCAAGATGGATTGTAATTGCTGGCCTTGTCTTTTTTTTCTAAATATAATCCAAAACAAGACATTAATCATATTCAGAAAACAAATGAAAATCCACAGATTTTGGCATATCATTTTATAAGGATATCATTTGAAATAATCTGAAAATAATATTCTCATAGCAAGTTTGTACTATTCATATTTATCCTATGTTACATATTTTATAAATTTTGGCAATATATACACATAATTCAAAACTGGAAATACTTCTTTTTTTTTTTTGTCGGTCATGGGGCTTGAACTCTGGGCCTGGGCGCTGTCCCTCAGCTCTTCAGCTCAAGGCGAGCGCTCTACCACTTGAGCTACAGCGCCACTTCCTGGAAATACTTCTTAAAAGGATGCAAATCTTGCTCCTATCCTTACCAATATTTAACATACTTCCTGGCTCATATTTATTTTACTATTTAAAACATGTCTATATATCTTTCCACTTTACAGTTTAAAACCTCTATTCATTTTTTCTTTTTATAGTATTATTCCAAAATCTGTACAACATTCTGGAAATTCTCTCCTTCGTTGTTATGCCTTCTTCTCCACCTCATTTTTTTAAGTGGTGGGTCTTCTGCATGCCAGGCAAAAGTTCTGCTACTGAGCTGCATATCCAGTCCTTTGTCTTCTTTCCTGGTTTGTTATGAGGATCAAATAAAATATTGAAGACTCAAGAACCTTACATTTTCAAATCAGTTGAAGCATTAAATCCTCTATTTTCTGTTGTTCCCTGGCTCCAGGATGTTTTGAGCAGAAGTGATCTAAACACAGAAGGCTTTGGAATAGCCCTGAAGTTAAGCTAGACAAAAAGGTTAATGTTCTTGTTAGTGATATAGCTCAGTGGTAGAATACTTGTCTAGCATGTGCAAGACCCTTCCAAAAAATAATAAAGGTCAATGTTCTTAAATTTCAATTTCTGAGTATTCCAAATTGATTTCCATAAGAACTCAAGATTCACTTTCTTTCTGACTTATTCTTTCCCATAAGTCTTTGGGTCAGTGGTCAGACTTGACTGGACTGTATATGGCCTTAGCTTAAGCAGCCAGGATCCAAACTACATAAGGAGGCTAGAGTCTGTGATTTCCTTTCTCAAGAACTCAAAGATTCGGCTGGGCACTGGTGGCTCATTCCAATAATTCTAGCTACTTAGGAGGCTGATATCTGAGGATTATAGTTTGAAACCAGCCCAGGCAGAAAAGTCTGTGAGATTCTTATTACCAATTAACCACTAAAAAGCCAGAGGTGAAACCGTGCGTGCACATGTGTGTGTACATACACACACACAAATATACACACACAAACTCTTAAGAATTCCATCTTTATTAACTTTCCAAAGAACAAGTACATTTTGTAAATTTAGACTCTTTTGGAAATTATGAGACTGCTAATTTTCTGTTGGTCCCTGGCTCCAGGATGTTTTGAGCAGAACCATTCTAAACAGAGAAGGATTTGGAATAGCCCTGAAATTAAGCTAGACAAAAAGATTAATGTTCTTGTTGGTGATGTAGCTCACTGGTAAAGCACTTGGCTAGCATGTGCAAGGTTGTTAAATTCCATTGCATTAGGAGTACCAGCTTGCTTTGACTGGAAATGGGATAAGGTGCAGAATGTGAGAAATATGAAAGAAGAATTGTGAGCAGAGAGAGGTATTGCTGTTGCCTTAGAGATGAGTTTTCTTAGCAATACATCTTTCAGAGACTTTTCATTACTCGGCAGTGAACATGGATACCATGTGCATTCATGAATTCATTCAACAAAGTGTGAGCACATGTTGGTTTCCATGATAAACAATAGAGATGGGAGGATGTAAAAGACAGGCTCCACCCTCCAAAAGTTCAATCAAGTGACAGGGACAGGTAATATAAAATACAAGCTTTCAGTGGGAGGTATGGAAGAAGAGCTATTAGGACCCAAGGGAATGGCTACAGAAGGGAAAGCAGAGAAGGTTTATCAAGGAAAGTGGTTTTGTGCTGGCTGAGGCTGTTGATGAATGTGTGAGAGTATGTCAGGAAGAGTAGGGCTTGGGAGACAGGACACAATTTCAGTGATGGAAACAGCAGTGAGTAAAGAGCCAGGTAAGGTTTGGATGGCCATTTATTTGAGAGATTTCCATTACTTATGACATCCTTGGAAAAAATTAATCTCTGAAAAATATCCAGATTGAGTTTGACTATTTATTTTGTGAGCATTTGAAATGTGCATCATTTTCCTTCTGCAGCTTGGCACATGAAAATAAAATGATTAATTTAGAGAAGGTTTGAGAACACATGGAAGCATTTTCACTTACTTCCAGATCTGAGCTTGCCTCCCACCTCATTTTTGTTGAAAGCAATAAAGTTAAAGGGAGATCAATGGCTTTACCAGTAAAACATCTAAGTTTTACTGGGAAATTTAACTGCATGAAATGTCAGTTCAATTCTGATTCAGTACTTTTGGAATATATATAGTTTTGAGGTTTGGATAAAAGTGATTCAGTTAGTGTTTTGTTAATGAAAAATAAGAGAAGAAAAATGTGTTTATCCTCCAAAAGCCTACATAGGTTTGAAATGAACGCAAATTTCTAGGCTACTGTCCATAATTTAGTTCAAGACATAGTGTCTGATTTTTATGATAAAACACTCGCATTTAATTTTCTGTTCAAAATTGCATTCTGCCATAAAGGTTATAAAATCCCTGTCTCTAAAATAAGGCAGTATCTGAATCTAATAACAGCTTCAGTGGACTCCTAGTTAAATAGCGTAGTTTAGGATAGGAAAATCAAGTTGTATCCATCCGAGAAAGTCATTGTCAAACAACAGAGAGTCACAAGCAAAATAGAAAAATGCTTTAATGCTTAATTGTAAGATAGAGATCATTGTATGTTTCAAAGAGCTATAGCTATATGCATGTTTTCTTTCTTTCTTTTTTTTAATGTGAAAATACCATACAGAGGGCTTACAATTACATGAGCAAGGTAATGAGTGCATTTCTTATCAAGCATTGTTGCCTCCTCCTTTGTTTCCCATTCCCATCCCTTCCCATCACCCCCATTCCCCCACCCCGCGCCAAAGTTGTAGAGTTTGTTTTTCGACATAACGTCTTGTACATCTCATTGGTGCAATGGGTCCACCTGTATCCCTATTTAAATGATTTGTTTTTTCCCTTCCCCTCCACAAATTATACCAACATCAAATACTGTGAAAACAGGGGTTATACTGTCAGGGAGGGACATACAAAGCAACAAAGAAATCATCTTATAAATATGTTAGAAACAATAGCCAGAAAGAAAAACCATTTGAGTCCTTATCTTGGGGTTCATTTCACCTAACATCAACTTATCTGACCGTTCTGCTTGTCTCAGACATATATTAGTTATTGCAAATAAGGGAAACCATGGGACCTGTTTCTTTGGGCCTGGCTTACTTCACTTAATATAATTTTTTCCAAGTCTTCCCATTTCCTAACAAATGGGGCAATGTCATTCTTTCTGATGGAGGCATAGAATTCCATTGTGTATATATATACCACATTTTCTTGATCCATTCATCTACTGAGGGGCATCTGGGTTGGATCCATATCTTAGCTATGGCAAATAATGCTGCAATAAACATAGTTGTGCTGGTAGCTTTAGTATGGTCTTGTTTGGGTAAATGCCCAAAAGTGGGATTGCTGGGTCATAGAGGAGCTCTATGTGAAGTCTTTTGAGGAACCTCTATACTACTTTCCAAAGTGGTTGAACAAGTTTACAGTCCCACCAACAATGCAGTAGGGTTCCCTTCTGTCCACATCCCCTCAAACATCTGTTGTTATTAGAGTTCTTGATTATAGCCATTCTAACTGGGATGAGGTGGTATCTCAGTGTTGTTTTGATTTGCATTTCTTTTATGGATAGGGAGGTTGAGCATTTCTTCATGTGTCTTTTGACCATCCTTCTTTCCTCTTCAGAGAAGTTTCTCTTTAAGTCTTTAGCCCACTTATTTATTGGGCAGTTGTTTTTTTTTTGAGGATTTGTTGTTGTGAAATTTAATTTTTTGAGTTCCAGGTATATTTTAGATATGAAACCCTTGTCCGTTGTATGGCTAGTGAATATCTTCTCCCAATCTGTAGGCTTTCTATTGATCTTTCTAGCTATGTCCTTTACCATGCAGAAGCTCTGCAATTTCATTCAATCCCAGTTGTCCAACTTTTCTTTGATCTGTTGTGTTTCTAGGTCTCTATTAAGAAAATTTCAGCCTGTACCAAGGAGACCTAGGGTTTCTCCTATTCTGTCCTGTAATATTTTCTTTTTCTTTTTCTTTTTTTTTTTTTGATGGTTGTGGAGCCTGAACTCTGGACCTGGGCGCTCAGCTCTTCAGCTCAAGGCTAGTGCTCTACCACTTGAGCCACAGCGCCACTTCTGGCTTTTTCTGCTTATGTGGTGCTGAGGAATCGAACCCAAGGCCTCATGCATGCAAGGCAAGCACTCTACCAGTGAGCCACCTTCCCAGCCCTCCTGTAATATTTTCAGGGTGTCTGCTTTGACTCCGAGGTCTTTGATCCATTTGGAGTTGATTCTGGTGCAGGGTGGTATATAAGGATCTAGCTTTAGTTTTCTACAAGTGACTGACCAATTTTATGCATGCTTTCTTACTAACAACTTTGACATGGCTGAGGAGAGCAAAAGTCCATGGAAGATTAACTTTAGTAGCAAGATTAGATTTGTCCATGGCGAAGAGCAATTCCAAGTGCAAGGGTAGTTTTTAAATGTAATCTCTAGATATGCCAGAGTCTAGATAATCACTTATTCACATTGTGCAGATGAGCCAACTGAGGTTTAAGTTAGGTAACTTGTCTAGACACATCCAAGATAAAGTTGCAGAGCTAGTATTCTGTGTGTGTCCAGAATTGAGCTCATTATTGTGTTCCAGGGAAAAAATGGACGGTTAAGTGGTTAGAAGCATTTAAGGTATGACTTAAAGCATCTCAACCTTTGGTGAGTTTTACATTCAAATTAAGGTCATAAAGCTAGGTGCTGGTGGCTCACACCTATAATCCTAGCTACTCAGAAGGCTGAGATCAGGAGAATCAAAAATCAAAGCCAGTTCTGGCAGAAAAGACTGAGAGACTCCATCGCCAAAATCACCAGCAAAAAACAAGGCTGTTGGTATGACTCAAATGGTAGAGCACCAGCCTAGCAAGCCAGAATACCAAGCATGAGACTCTAAATTCAAACCTCAGTACTAGCAGAAAGAAAATGGAAGGAAGGAAGGAAGGAGCGAAGGAACAAAGGAAGGAAGGAACAAAGGAAGGAAGGAGAAAAAGAAGGAAGGGAGGAAAGAAAGAAGGAGGGCAGACAAAGAAACATAGGTCCCATGGTTTCCCTTATATGCAATATCTAGTATATGTATGAGTCAAGAGGAAAAGGTCAGATAATGTGATGTCAGGAAAATGAACCCTTAGATATGTATTTTAATGTTTTTTTCTTTCATGCATGTGTTTCTAACGCATCTATAAGATTATCTCTTTGTTGCTTTGTATGTCCCTCCCCCACAGTATAACCCCTGCTTTCACTATATTTGATGTCAGTATAACTTGTGGAGGAGATGGGGAAAAACCAGTTGTTTAAGGATACAGGTGGACCTGTTGCAACAATGAGAAGTACAAGTTGTCATGTCCAAAAGGAGCTTTACAACGTCGGTGCGGGGGGGAGGGGGTAAGGGGGGAGAAGGAGAAGGATTGGGATGGGGGGGGAGGGGGGAGGCTGGGAAGGGATGTGAAGGGTAAACAAAGGAGGAGGATGCAATGCTTGGTAAGAAATGTATGCATTATCCTGCCCATGTAATTGTAACCCCTCTGTACAGTATGTTCACAAATAAAATTAAATTAAATTAAAAAAAGAAGGAGGGCAGAAAGAAAGAATAGAAAGACAAAGAAAGAAAGAAAATTAGGATGAATTAGAATATATAGAACTTGAAATCATTGTTTGTGTATGTGTGATTAAGGATAGAATAAAGCAATACAAAGTAAAGAGAAAGGGGTGCTCCTGATGCCCAGCTCCCTTTAGAACTTCTCTGCTCCTTTCTCCTAATCACCCCTTCCCCTGAAACTTGCTCCTCTACCTGCATTCTTTATCAAAGATGAATGCATGATCATGAGCTTCACTGTCCAATCAGAAGTCTGGGAATCACCTTGCACCCATCCCTCTTCTTCATCCTCCATATCCAGTTGGTTGACAAGTCCTGTGGCACACATATTTTCTTTTTGACATTACTGATGTTTGAACTCAAGCCCTCTTGGTCCACTCACTGGCTTTTTTTGGCTCATCCTCTACCGCTCTTCGTATCTCCAGTTGAGCTTTTTGTGGGTTATTTTAGAGAGGAAGTGTTGAGTACTTTTCTGTTAGGGAAGGCTTGAAACCATGATTCTTTAGATCTCAGCCTCAGGATTACAGGTGTGATCCACTGGAGCCTAGCTGTACTCTACTTTGTTAATACTTCTCAAATCTGCCTCCTCCTTTTCCTTGATTCAAGCACCCCCAGTGTCACAGAGATCAATGTAAAATGTTAAAAATGACCATCATCACTACCCTGTTTAAACTCCTTCCATGGTTACCTTGTTCTTGTATAAAATATATAGACTACAAGCCTTCTAAGATAGGCCTCCTACCAGTGTCTAAACATATCTATTATCTTTCTTCTATCCAAATTTAGAGGTGGGCTAACATTAAATCCCCAGTGTCTAGTTCCGTGCAGGATGGATAATGGCTTCAGTATTGATGAGAGTCACAGGCAAATTCTAGTCCTTTAGCTCTCCTTTGTCACCCATCAATGAATAAATAGAAAAAAAAACATGTAAAGGAATGGAAAAACACAGTACCAATGAAATATTTTTAACCAAGTATAAAAACGAAATTATTACAAAGTATTTAAGGGGTTCTATTTTCATTGGGAATTGGTTTTAAAGTATGAACTATGCTCAAAGTCATTTAATGTTTGCTTACATTTGGCTGTTTTAATAAAAGCATATTTTAAGACACAATGCAGAAATTTACCGCTATAAATCTAGGCAGACAGAGGAGACAGAGAAACACTATTTGAATTTAAATGGCCTACTGACTAGTAAGTCCTGGTTCTGAAGTGCTATACTCCCATCTGGTGGTACATCCAGAAAACTGTCCAAATATATTTTTTGAGATTTTAAAAAAATAGACATATATTTGGTAAAATGAAATGACTACAATTGTTACAGGTTGTCATTCATTTTTCATGAGTTTTATTCTTTGTCATTGCTTTACAGTCAAACCATCTAAGCCCTTTTGTAGTGTCCAAGGAAGACCAGAAAGAGGCCAACCTATTTCCCTGAGTTGCCATTCTGAGATTGGATCACCATCTCCTACTTACTACTGGAACAAGCTTGAGGGAAAAAACATCATGTCAGTGAAAGAAAGCTCCAGTAAGTGTTATCTTTGGCAGTGCATGGTAAGGCCTGGGCAGTGGGGTTGGCAGACAGCATGAGTGTGTGGATGGCTGCCTGTCCTTAGTGTCTAATATTCTTTTCTTGGTAAGGGAAGAGTTTATTTATTTATTTTTTGGTTGTGGGGCCTGAACTCTGTGCCTGGGCGCTGTCCCTCAGCTCTTCAGCTCAAGGCTAGCGCTCTACCACTTGAGCTACAGCGCCACTTCCAGCTTTTTTCTTTTTGCTTATGTGGTGTTGAGGAATCGAACCCAGGGCCTCATGCATGCAAGGCAAGCGCTCTACCACTGAGCCAACTTCCCAGCCCTGTCCCTGAACTCTTCAGCTCAAGCTGAGCATTCTACCAGTTTAGCCACAGAACCACTGCCGGTTTTGGGGTGGTTTATTGGAGACAAGAGTCTCACGGACTTTCTTGCCTAGGCTGGCTTTGAATCGTGATCCTCAGATCTCAGCCTCCTGAGTAATTAGGATTACAGGCATGAGCCACCAGCGCCTGTCTAAGAGATTTAAAAAAAAATTGCCTGCCAACATGATGATTTGCTATGTGTGCTCCCCAATGATTAGAATCCACCTGACAATGAATCCAGGTGAGTATGATGGAAACAGGCATGGCCCTAGAGGGGCTACTAGCTCTTACTAACAGAGTTCTAGTTGGACCCTGGATATCTCCAGAAAGGGAGCCATTGTGAGGAAGTCCGTGGGCACTGGATGGTGTGATACTCTAACATGACTGGTACCCAATACAACATTAAATTCTATTTTCTGGTTTTGATAGGCTCAGCCAATGGGATTTTGGTTATTGGAAATCTGACCAATTATAAGCAAGGTTATTACCAGTGCATTGCCATCAACAGCCTGGGCAATAGTTCCTGTGAAATTGATCTAACCTCCTCACGTGAGTTGACCTTATGGCTTTTACTGTTTCTCTTTTTGACTAGGCCTGTCAGCCAAGCACATTAATTAGAATATTTGGTTAGTCTTTCTTGCCTCTCCAGATGCTTGAGTACCTTATTAATAGAGTAATAGGAGGTATACCATTATATTTCAGGCTTGTATTCTATTAGTATGTTCCCTAAATCCTTTAGAAAATTCAATTTGTTCTCTAGGGAGTAGATATTACTATATGATAAGACAATAGTCATATCAGGCTAGATTTCTCTTTAGGATGCTGTTTATAAACCCAGGTGACTTTTTTATACATACAGTTGTTAAATACTGTTCTTAAATACTGTTCTCAAATACTGTTAGGACTGGGTGCTGGTGGCTCAGGCTTTTAATCCTAGCTACTCAGAGGCTGAGAACTGTGGATCACAGTTCAAAGCCAGCCCATGCAGGCAAGTCCAGTGAGACTCTTATCTCTAATTAATCACCAGAAAACCAGAAGTGGTACTATGGCTTAAAGTGGTAGAGCGCTAGCTTTGAGCTAAAGAGCTCAGGGACCATGCCCAGGCCCTGAGTTCAAGCCACACAACCACAAAAATAATACTCTGTTAGAATTTGCCAATAATAATGACAATAACAACAAAATCAACAACAAAACAGCATCAATATTCTCAGCTGAATCTGGTGGCTTATGCCTGTAATTCTAGCACTCAGGACACAAAGGCAGGAGGATCATGAGTTCAAGGCCAGCTTGGTTATGTAGTGACTTTCCAGGCCAGTTTGAACAACAGTGACAAACTGATTCAAAAAAACAAAAAGAGCAGGGCACCAATGGCTTATACTTGTAATCCTAGCTACTCAGGAAGCTGAGATCTAAGGATCATGGTTCAAAGCCACCTTGGGCAGGAAAGCCTAGGAGACTTACCTCCAAATCTCAGTTTGAAAGCAACTTGGCTTTGACCATAGTTGCATGTGTCAGTGTTAGTGGTTATGTTGCACAGTTAACATACATATCTTTCTTCATCCACAGTGAATCTCACTGGTAGAAATCTAGGGGTTCCTATTCCCCCTGCTATTCCCCACATCACTCCCCTGCTATGTGAATGTTCCAAATATTCTCCCTCATGCACCAGTATACATGTAGGATATGACAATATGTTCTACTTTACTAACTGGCTGCTTTGGTCCTCCAGATCCAGAAGCTGGAATCATCATTGGAGCCTTGGTTGGTGCCCTGGTAGGTGCAGCCATTATTATCTTTGCCGTGTACTTTGCAAAAAGCAAGGCAAAGGCAAAGCAAAGGAAGAGGGACTCCAGCACCACCACAGAACTGGAGTAAGTCCTTTACTTCAATTCACACATCATTTTGAGAATGAAAAAATTTCTTAGGTATATTTCTTTAGTCAGAAATACCTCAATATTTCTTTTAGCATAAGATATTCAAATGTTTTTCTGGTCTCTCACTTGATTTATTCAAAGAATGATGTTGGCTACCATTTACTAAATCTATTGTGCCAGATTCTTCTGTAAGCACTTCATATTTATCAACTCATTTAATCATCACAACAACATTTTTAGATTCCCCCACAGTTTTATGATATAATGTTAACATACAGTAATAAATGTAATTTTGAATACTTTTATGGAACTAGAGGCCCAAAGTGATAGAGTTCACAAAAATCAGAATGTGTCTAGGCCCACAGCCTATGTTCTTAATCACTCTCCTGTTTCTTGTGTAGTGTAGGCCATATACATTCATTTGTCAATGCTTCCATCCACAACATTAAGATTCCATTCCACTCCATTCAAAATGTCTATCATCAGAATACAAACAACAGCAGATGCTAGCTTGGATGATGGGGAAAAGGAAGCCTATCAAACTGCTGATGGTAATGTAAACTAGTGTAACCACCAAGGAAGGCAGTTAGGATATTCCTCAAAAAACATAGAACTACCTTATGATTCAGTGATACCACTCTTGGGCATTTCTCCAAAAGATTATAAGCCAGGATGCAATAAAGACTTTTGCACACACATGTTCATTGCTCCATTATTCACAATAGCTATGTTATGGAAATAGCCCAGATGCCCTATAGTAGATGAGTGGATTAATAAAATGTCACATACACATACACACACACACACACACACACACACACACACAATGTAATTTTACTAATCTATCAGAAAGAATAATGAGAATAATCAGAAAAAATCAGAGAATAATCAGAAAGAATAAATAACATGGTTCTGGATGGAAGAACATGGAAAAATTATGTTAAGTGAATGAAGTAAGTCTGAGAGAGACAAAAGGCTCATGTTTCTCTCATACATAGGAGTTTGATCTGTTATAAATGTATATGAAAACATATACAGGTTCATGGGTACACACACACACACACACACACACACACACACACACACAAACACTAACATTTTGACCAAGGTATGGTATATGCAGGGGGGTATTGTAATGGTGTAACTCTTTTGAACAACTAACACAGTTTAACAAAGTGAATATGAGGAAGCTCAAATATGTGTTGTATAGGGAAGGTTAAGGGATGAGAGGGCAGATGAATGGAGAGAGGAATGGTGGGTAAATTCAGTCATAATATTCAATGTATGTATGTGAGAATGAAGTTAGCGTTTTCTTGTTCTTGTCTGGGTCTGCTTTCTTGTAGGCCAATGACAAACATAAACCAAACCAGAGAGGTTGAAGGAATGCCAACTGAAGACGCTGCCAAGATAGAAGCATCTCTGCCACCCTCCATTCATGTGGTTGACCCTAATACTGTCCTGGAACCAATTTCTGAGCCTAAATCACAGCTGGATGCCACCCCTGATCCTTTCCTAGAGCCAGAGCCTATGTCAGAGGTTGAGATTCAGGTAGAGCCAGTGCCTGAGTCCGAGCCTGTGGCAGAGCCAGAGCCAGAGCCAGAGCCAGAGCCAGAGCCTGAGGTTACAGTGGAACACCCGGGTGATGAGGAAAAGGAAATGGTTAAGATATAAACTTGACCCCTATATGCAGAATTATCACCAAGGATCCCATTACTGGTGTTTGGAATTCAGTTGACCTAATGAGCTTCCATCCCCTCCTTCAATTCTGACTAACCCTCTTCTAACAAGGTGCTCGGGCTTAACATAAATCCAAAACAAATGGGTTAATGCTCACTGCTAACTAAATGCGAGGGTTCCTGCATTATCAGAACAGAATACTAAAGAATGTAGGGAAAGTGATTCCTAACTCAGTTAAAAGGCTTTTGCAACAACTCTAGTTATATTGCAGAAAATCTTATTTTCTATTTGTTTTTCCTCTACTCGTCATTATGGTCACTTACACATGTAGCAAATTGACATAAACTCTATAGCATTTCTAGGATAAGTTGTCAGGCCTCTCTGTTCACTTTTATACTTTCCACTAAGAAAACAGTTCAATAGCATTAGTTCATAGATTAGGGAAAAAAATTTCTCCAAAACAACAGAGGAGAAAATATAAGGGTATGTATTATTTGGAACATAATCTTTGAGGTCAAGCTTTTCAATTTATCATGTTAAATTTCCCAAAAGTTACCCTGGTGTCAAAGTGTTATATTTTGATTACAACTCAGTTGTTTTAAATAGTAAAGAGTGATTTATTAGCAAAGCAAAAGTATCTCTCAGTGAGCGAGGGAGGCAATTGGATAAGGACATTGTATGGAAACTGTCAGGACTTTGGTTCTTTTCAATAGGGTTGGGTTACTGGGTAGTGTGAAACTGAGTCCCTCCTCTTGTGGTGTCTTTTCACGTGGTTCATCCAATGTAAAATGGTTGTCCATGTGTGCAAAAGCACTTGATTCTCTTTGCTCTTCACAGTTCATTTTGACATGGGGAGAGGGCTCTATAAGGATGATAAAGAATTATTATGCACTGGTCCAGAACATGGGCCATCTGGGGGCAACTCAATTCTTAGATACCAAATAAAATATAGGCAAACAATTTTAAATGTAATCTTCCTTTGGTAAATATAAAGTGTTTGTATGATAGCTGGATGTGCTATTTAGCTTTGAATAAGCCAAGATGTACTACCATAGTGTCTGATGCTAAGGGGCAGATTAAGAAGAGTGTTAATAAATAAATGATTAGATGGCTTTTAGATAATTTCAACTAATTCTTCAAGTAATCTCTTTTACTGTTCATATAGCCTGCATGAATAAGATGCATAGCATTCTTGTATAAATGCTAAATATTACCTAAAATGCATTAATCTCAGTTTTTATCTGCTGAAAAGCATTTTCATATTTGACTAATATCCTACCTAGGAGAAATTTATAAGTAGACTTACTTTTTTACTTATGTAACCAATCATACATTTTAAGGCTCAATAAAAATGCATTTTAATGACTCCTAAGATAAAATCTTTTAACAAATTTTAACATGTAATTTATGCAGTATAAAGTGTACCCACTTTAAGTGTACAATTTAAAGTTTTGACAGTTTTGCACACCCATGAAGCCAACATACTCATCTAGACATAAACCATATCCATCAGCCTGAAATGAGCTTCTGTAAAATCTCATTGTGCATGGACCTAGACAACCATCAATATGTTCTCCATCACTAGAAATTAGTTTTGCCTTTCCCTGGCATTTATTCTTTTTTTTGTCTTTTCTTTTTTGGTACTGGGGATTGAACCCAGGACGTTGCACTTGCTAGGCAAGCGCTTTGCCACTGAGCTACATCCGAGCCCCCTGGCATTTATTCTAATGGGACATAGAGTATTATACTTTTTGTCTTTTCCTTCTGAGCTAGATGCTTTTCAAAGAAGATAATGAACCTCTAATATATCACATACAGTTTTTCATGTAGAGAGTTTTTTCTATAGATCATATTTATATGGCACTTGAGATACTCTTTGTAGGTTCTAAGGTGAAAGGAAATTAATGTTAATTACATGTCTAAGCAAGCTTTTACTTTGGTATTTTTCTCTGGTGTGTTAAATTTCTGCCAAACTCAGGGATTTTTGGAGCATTCATTCAGAGATGAAATACTATGATAATATAGTGTCTGATGGCTACAGGAAACAAAATGAAAAGGGTCTTAACAATGACCTAATACTTTGAGATTGAAAATTAAAGCCCATTAGTATAAAAATCTCAATTACTAAAATGCCCAGGGCTGGGAAGGTGGCTCAGTGGTAGAGCACATGCCTTGCATGCATGAGGCCCTGGGTTCGATTCCTCAGCACCACATAAGCAAAAAGGAAAAAGCCGGAAGTGGCGCTGTGGCTCAAGTGGTAGAGTGCTAGCCTTGAGCTGAAGAGCTGAGGGACAGCATCCAAGCCCAGAGTTCAGGCCCCACGACCGGACCCAAAACAAACAAACAAACAATAAAATGCCCAAGTAGCTGAAATTCATTTTCCCTTCCACTTTTATGATGGAGGAATGTCACAAGAAAATGCAGTGACATGATAAAGTCATTAAACATATCCCCCAAATTCTGGGGTGTCAGTGCTGGAAAAAAGGCTCTACTAGAGCTTTAAAGAGTACTGACCTTCCTTATTAACACTATCTTGTTCAAAATACTGTGGGATAGTGGGATCAGTACTTAGCTATTGAGGTCGCAGATCACTCTGAGAATCTGTTGAAAACGCTGGATCTCCTCACCATTTAAAAATGCTTTATACATAAATTAGTGTCACATATAGTTTTAGATGACTTATATACTTCTTGAACCCAAGATTAAGAATAATGACCTAGCTATGTGCTGGTGGCTCATGCCTGTAATCCTAGAAACTCAAGAAGTTGAAATTAGAGGATGAAGGTTTGAAGCCAGTCTGCGCTGGAAAGTCCGTAAGACTCTTATCTCCAATCAACTAGTAAAAATCCAGAAGCAGAAAGGTGGCTCCAGTAATAGAGCACCAGCCTTGAATGAAGAAAGCAAAGGGATAGCACCCAGGGCCTGAGTTCAAGATCCATTACTGGGCAAAAAAGAATAGTGACTTAGGTTAAAACACAGAAGACACATTTACAAATTTCTGGATGACTGCTCCTTATGTGGGAGAGGGGGGTGGGGAGTTATTATAACAGACCATTGGTAGCTTGAGAGCTAAGCTGAAATCCACATAATGTATTCCACATAATGTATTCCACATGATTCTGTGGATTGGAAGGAATGGGCGTCTGGATTTTAAAATATAGAGTACGTTTTCCTAGGTGGACAAGGTTGGGAAACAAGTGTGTTAATATGAAGTGGTGCCTTTGGATTGTTCCTTTTAGTTCCCTTCCTGGCATTTGTCATAACTTATTCGCCATGTACACAGGATTCTCCCACTACTATTAGCTTATTGACATATTCAGGTCTTCATTCCTCAGGCAAGAAGCTTACCTGACAAGGATTAAAAGCATCAGTTCTAAAAATGTTTATGTAGTCAATCTTAAATTTCATGTTTTCAAAAGTTATTTTAATTACTGGTCATTATGTTTAATGCAAGTTTGTGAGCTCACCTGGATCACCTCAGGGAATGTTTTCAGCATAAAATTCAAATTAAAAAATAAAGAGTCACTTAGACTTCATTAGATGTCTTGACTAATAATCATTTAAGAAGCTTCTCTAAATTTTTTTTTTTGGTCCGGTTGTGGGGCCTGAACTCTGGGCCTGGGCGCTGTCCCTCAGCTCTTCAGCTGAAGGCTAGCGCTCTACCACTTGAGCCACAGTGCCACTTCCGGCTTTTTTCTTTTTGCTTATGTGGTGCCGAGGAATCAAACCCAGGGCCTCATGCATGCAAGGCAGGTGCTCTACCTCTGAGCCACCTTCCCAGCCCAGCTTCTCTAAATTGAGCTCAAATTTACTTACTAATTTCCTGTTGTTCTTTTTTTTTATCGTGAAAATACTGTACAGAGGGGTTACAATTACATGGGCAAGATAATGAGTACATTTCCTATCAAACATTGTAGCCTCCTCCTTTGTTTTCCTGTTGTTCTTTACAATTCAAAAGACTACCATTTTTGAAGATCTTAGTTGCAGTTCAAGCTCTGTTAATAATTTTATTGACTGTAGAGCTACCTCAAACTGAAAAATATGTCTTTACTCAATGTCTAACTGATGGAAAGAAAAATTGGGGGATTCTTCCAATATTTTATTTTTTGAAATACAAATGAAAATACATTTGTTATATTGCCATTGTTTAACAAGCTTAACCTTCTTTTCAATAAAAGGTGATTACATACAGATATTTTTAAATTTTCCTTTAAAAAGTGATACAACTTGTTTCTGGCAAACCAGCTCATTAAAAAGATACATGGGTATACAGGCTATTGTTCCACATTCTTTCAAAACATACCCTCTACAATTTGGTCCATTAAAATATGTAAGTATTCCTCCTGTAACAAAAATAAAGTAAGCTTCATGGGTGAAAATACAGAAATATTTGGCACAGGCCTCTGAGCAAGCTTGAAGACAAGTAAGGATGTTTTAAGGGTGGAACACAGGATGGCCAATTAGAATGCTCTTGGGGTTGTTCTGCTTCACAGAGGGCAAGAAGGTGCTTGGAAGATAACACAAGACTCACAATAGCCAAAAAATGACAGCCATACTCACTCAAAATGACCCAAAATCCAATACGGTATACTATATGACAACAGAACAACCTCAACAGTTATTCAATGCTTGGAAAGCAGGTTCAAAGATTAGAACAAGTACCTCAGCAGGACCAATCCAACATAAGTTTCTAAGATTTTAAAAGTGAGAAACTGTCACTATTCATACATAATACCTTGTGCACAACATTAGGTTCCAGAACAATGGGCATGACAAAACTTACAAAATAAGAATAGATCCAAACTGTTTAACCTTCCACCATTCTCTTAAGTATTAAACCCAAGCCACCCTTTGCCACTTGCAGGGGTGTCTTTTCTTCTTTATTCTCAATGTAAATGCTTGCTCCTTGTGACACCAGCAGTTTTGCTTCTTCCATTCTCTCCTCATCACAGGCTAGGTGTCTGCAATTGAGACCACAAAGACCAATTCATCATAGTATCAGTACTATGGAATGTTAAGATTTCCTTCTAGGTACTCTAATGTGTATATCATCAGGCAGTGGGAGTGCTGGAAACTTATTTAATAAAGGAAGGGAAATCAATTTCTATAAGAAAGACTGCTTATAAGTTGAAATCCACAAAATAGTCTTATTAATTCCCAAATCATTCTCCTAAATAGATGAATGAATCTAAATGCTTCCTTATTTTCTGGGTATTAGTAATCGTTTACTCCAAACACAATATAAAATAATTCAGGGTTATAATTTAGAAAAGCTTCAATTCATTATGTATTACTAGTTTTTTATTGGAACTTAAATTTTAGAAAGGCAATTGAGAAGATTTTATCTTCTTTGATCCAGAAATTTGCCTCATAGTCTATCAAGTTATTATGAAGGAAAGGAAACTAACTTTTGTCAGGGATTTATAGTTTGTCAGTCACAGTATAAGGTACTTTACATACTATTTTAGTTAAATTTCAAAATAATCCGGTGAGGAAGAAATTACTATTGTAATATTACAGATGAAAAAATTAAGTTATTTAACTCCTACATTTGCTGCAGATTATGTTAGTGATGCAGATCACTGGGATGCAGATCTTTCTAGTTACTCAGAACATAGAAAGATTTTTTTAAAAACTAAGAATTACCGAAGCAGTATTTGTATTTTTGTCTTTGCCTAGTGATAATAAGATTTAAACTGAGGGCCTCACGCTTGCTTGGCTATCACTCTACTACCTGTGTGACATACTTCTGACATTGATTTTCACTGGCTAGCACATAGCAACAAAGGTATGATTAAATTATGGCACATTCACAAACTGGAATTGTATATGGTCATTACAAATGTTTTAAAGGTATTTAATGACATTGGAAAATGCCCACGACATGGTTTGAAGTGAGAAGTTATAAAACTATATATACATACAGTAGGACCCCAATCTTGTTAAAATATATGTACGAAGCATACATATTTGCATAGAAAAGACAGGAAGAAACATCCAAATATGTTATCAGTGGTTATTTTTGGGTGGCAAAATTATACACAATTTTTCCTTTTGTCTTTATGCTATGGCATACTTTCACCAATTCTTTGCCATTAACAGTTGTCACATTTATAAGCAGAATAGTAAAAGAAATGATGTGTACAAATGACTTTTAGAGGGCTAATATCAGGTAGAATATGAATGGCTGCTTCTTGTCACTTACAGGGGAGTGTTACCCTCAGTGTCTTGGATGTTTGTGGATGCTTTGTAGTACAGAAGGATATGAATCATCTTCAAGTTACCCTTGGCTGCTGCCCGGTGCATTGCAGTAGCTTCATAATGGTCCTTAGCATCTGGATTCGCTCCACCTTCTAATAACATGACAGCAATCTGAAAGTATAGAAAAGGAAACAGTGCACACATCTGTGGTTGGGAACACATTTAGAACTCAACAAAAGTAGCCCAGACACACCATACCTCATGTCTATTTTTTGAAGCTGCATAATGTAGGGGAGTACAGCCATTCTGATTGATAGCATTCACTTGGGCACCTTTTCCCAGGAGGGCTTTTACAATCTCATCCCGGCCAGCAGAAGCAGCAATATGAAGAGGAGACCAACCTGCCTGTAAAAGAAATGAGTGGTATAATGAGTTATATCAAAGTCAGGGCAAAAAAGCCACAGGGATTAGTGTAACATTTATGCTGGATTTACTGAGTTGTGTGTGAATAATTTTAAAATGTTCCTTGTCTCCCTTACTAAAGACTGCAGAAAATTTGGAAATAAGAATGTATAACACAGAAAAAACTCAGGAGATAGGATTGAGATTCAATGTCAGCTTAGATAAAAGTTAGTGAAACTCTATCTCAAAAAAACAAGCCAGTCAGCTGGGTGCCTGTAATGTTAGCTACTCAGCAGGCTGAGATCTGAGGATTGTGGTTCAAAGACAGCTTGGACAAGAAAATCTGTGAGAGTATTATCTCCAATTAAGCATCCAAAACAGCCCAACCTAGAGCTCTGGCTCAAGTGGTAGAGTGCTAGTTTTGACCAACAAAGCTCAGAAACAGCACCTAGGCCTTGAGGACTGTGGTGGCCCCCCTCTCACCTTTCCCCCTTCCCCCTCCATTCTCCCCCCCACCTCCCCCACACCACCTACAAAGCCCCAGCACTGGCACCAAAACACAAGCCAGCCATGGTGGTGCATGGTTGTAATTCTGCTAATTAGGAGACCTGGTAAAAGGTGTGAGACCCTATATGAAAAACAAACTAAAAGCAAAAGGAGTAAAGTGTTGCTCAAGTGGCCAAGCGCTTGCAGAGCAAATGCAAGGTCCTGATTTCAATGCCTAGTATCACTAAAAATCTCCAATCAACCAACACCCCCCCCAAAAAAAACCCCAACCCACAGTCCTATAGCACCAAGATAATGATATATAAATATAATTCTAATGTGTTTTCTTTCATATAATATTTTAAGCCAGATGTGGGATCAGAAGATATAAAATTCTGTAAACTACATTCTCCACATTTTCCATTTACACTGTGAGAATTTTTCTATGTTATTCTTTGGAACTGTAACTTTATTGTGGCATATTACTTTAAGTGGATTTGCACTCTCTATTCAACCATTCTCTATCAAAACTGTTTTTATTTCTTTTCTATAAGTATTTCAGCAAACATATTTGAAAAGTAATGCTGCCTACAAAAACGTTCTATTCTTATTTATTTTCACAAAACTAATCTCAATATAAACTAACATCATTAGACTAAATCTCTTGGTATAACAAATATCTATGAAGGCTCTCATCTGAGCAATATTCACCAAAAAAATGCCAACACTATAAAAAGTGTTGGTAGTATTTTGGGATTCACAATAGTATGTCCTGTATTTTTACCCTGAATAACAGAATATGATTCATTGTAAAATAACAGTCAGTAGTGTCATGTTTGATCACCAGGACTACACAGTAATTCTAAGGGCTGTAATTTTATTTTGCACCTTAACACTCTTTAGTAAAGACCAGCATGGAATCTGAAGATAATTGGGAATTTATCAATTTGGCCAAGTACTCACATCATCTTTATCATTCACTGGCACTCCAAGTTGCAGCAAGAATTCAACAACTTCTGTATGTCCAGCTGAGCATGCCCAATGCAATGCAGTTCTGCTGTCCTACATGGGAAACAAACTGTGATCAACATTCTTGAAGAGATATAGAAGGCAAAAAAGCAGAATAACATATGGGTGCTGGCAAATCTACAATGTGAACAAAGAAGTGGAGAGCACTGGATCCCCAAGTAGGTAACCTTAGACCACCAAGGTTTCTTTCAGTGGCATGGGGTGAATAACATCAGTGAGTACAAGGAATTTTGGGAAGAACAGTGATGAAAGTATTGATTCCAATGTTTTGACACAAATGTAACTTTGACATTTTACTATTCCATTACTTAAGTACTCATAATCTCCTAGGAATATTATACACTTGTTATCTCATTCAACTTCACCATCCTATACAGTTGCAATTATCCCAATTTTATGAAGACTAATCCTTAGAGTAAGCAGCTTGGGCCAAGGTCACACAACTTATTGAATGTCTAATAGACTCTGAAATGTCCACTACTTAACTAAATAACACATGGACATAGGTGAAAAATGCTAATGAAACGAACTACATTGATATATATATATATATATATAATCATTTAAAGGCACGAACACACACAATTAGAGTACAACAAAACTGCTCTCTTAAAAAATAAGAAATACATGAATCACCATCTCTTTCAGAAAGAGATGGTGATTCATGTATTTCTTATCCCTGTGTAATAGAAAGTGGTTTTTGTTATTGTTTTTTGGAGTGCTGGCAATTGAACCTAGAGGTTCTATATGCTAGGCATTCTCTATTGATTGAGCTATAGGTCCAGCCTAGAAAAGTGGTAATTTATAAACTTTCTTTCAAAAGTCCAAACTCACATAAAATAGACTATGATAAAGACTCACATGTCTATAACCTAGATTTATCAATATATGTCTATCTTTTCACCATCTAATTTTTTTCATTACTGAGGTTTAAAAAGAAATCTAAATAAATATGACTTTTATTCATAAGTACTTCAGCACCTAAAAAAAGATTTCTTTCTTACATAGTTTCAAGACCATTTTTCAATAATAATGTAGGTAAAATATTGGCTAGGTGTGGTACACACCTTCCAGATGTGGGGAGGGTGGTGCAAAGGATCATGAGTTTAGGGACAGTGTGGAGTTTATAGCGGGACCCTGCCTCAAGAAAACCCCCCTAAACAAAATTAACATTAGCTTCTTTACAACATCTCATAGTCTTACTCAGATTTTTTCACTTGTTTCCTGTCCTTTTGTAGCTTTTTAAAATTAGGATCTACACTAAGTCCATAATGGTATTTTGATCCTGAATAGCTCCCCCATTTTTCCTGCCATTGATTTGATTAGAGAACGGTTAAATTTTGAATGGATGTTTATTAAATTATGCCTAATTTTATTACATTAAATTTAAATTGTTAAACATTACCAGACCATAACAACGGTAAAGAACCTAAAGGTGAGGCCTTTTCAGGATGAGTAATAAAGGAAAATTCCAGAAAACAGGAAGTAGTTTCCTGATTTTGAATTATCTTCCAAAGGAAACAAAATGGAAGTATGTAAGTATGGAGCATGTTGCTCATGCTTAGGTCATCTACACATATTTCTTGGCTTACTGAGGGCATTTTCAATTTTCTACACGCATGAGGGTTTTCTTGAGGAGAAACACTTAGAAATGTCCGTTCACTCATCCTCCTTGTTAAATTTTTTTTAGTCGGTCGTGGGGCTTGAACTCTGGGCTTGGACCCTGTCCCTGCACTCTTCAGCTCAAGGCCAGCGCTCTACCACTTGAGCCACAGCGCCACTTCCTCCTTGTTAAAATTTTTACTAATCTCCCCTTCTTTGCAAAATCGTTTCTCACTATCACAATATTTGCAACAGGTCCTCCCATTACATATTCTGAAAGCACCATGTAAATGCCTCTCAAGTGTTTACAATTTGCCAGTCAATGGACATATGTTTTGTGATTATTTTATGAATGTCTGTGTTTCCACTTGATCTTGTCTCTAGCTCCTCGCAAACTGTAAAGCACCGAAGAGGCGATCGTCTCACGTGATTCATCAAACACAATTACTAGCACAGGTAACGACATCCATGGTATCTGAACGTATCACAATAAAAAAGTTTTATGCAAAAAAGGGAGAAAAAATCCATACAAAATGCTTTCCTTTTCGTGAATATCTCCGTCAAAGACTAGACATTACTGAGAATTAGGCTAGCTAGAAATGCCCAAAACTTAGGAAGTAAACACGGGGGAGGGAAGGGGGGAGTCTACAGTGTGTGTGTGTGTGTGTGTGTGTGTGTGTGTGTGTGTGTGTGAGAGAGAGAGAGAGAGAGAGAGAGAGAGAGAGAGAGAGAGATGAGATGAGAGACAGAGACAGATACAGACATGGGGGAGGTGGGAGTCTACAGTGTGTGTATGTGTGTGTGTGAGAGAGAGAGAGAGAGAGAGAGAGAGAGAGAGAGAGAGAGAGAGTTGTGGCTACAGCATCCGGACCGCTGCGAGTCCTGACGTGACCCTGCAGTCTGGATGGGAAGCAAGGGCGGGGATCTGCCCCCTCGCACCAGTGGCCTCGCTTGGGCCGGGCCTGGGAAGCCACGTAGGACTTCGCTGACGCCATCGGCTGCAAACAGGCTGGGGTGGGCTTTACCTGGTCAGTTCTAGTAGCCAAGGACTTATCGAACTGGATGCTCTCCTTTAACTCCTCCAGCTTCCCGTTGTAGGCCAGGTTACACACCGTTAGGTTAGACACACACCCCTCCATTTCGTTTCCCCTAGATGGCTAAGAAACCCCAGTAACGTCTACTTTGCGTGGTTAGCTTCGGTGGCCAATCGAAAGCACGAGCGGTCTACCAATCACCAGCCTTTGTTGTTGCCGTGTTGCTTTTTTCACAGAGTGCCGCTTCCGGGAGCTGCCGTTTGAGGGCAGTTCCGGGACGGGAGAGGGAGGGCGTGTGTGCTCTCCTTTTGGACTCGGCCCCTGGCCAGGAAGAACTACAAGTCCCAGAGGCCCTTGGGAACTCTGTAGTCAAGTTGCCGGTGGAATTGGCCGAGGATGACAGCTGGAGAATGGAGTCAGGTACGGAAGGCGGCTTCTTGTGGAATTGTGTGAAAGAGTGGGGTGGGCGATCGCTGTTGGGCCATTAAGTCGGCCACATATAACAGATTCAAGGGCAAGGAGAGTCATGGAGCCTAAAGGTCTTGTTCCTCGGGGCCCTGACCTGAAGTGGCAGGCGGAAGGGACAACAGTTGTCGCTGAGTACTACCGCCTGAGTCCGAACCAGTGACTGTGGCTACCCTCCCCCTCCTAGCTACTGCCCAGGGAGAGGAAAGAAGTTAGGAATTAGTTATCTCACATCTCAGCAAAGGGGCATCAGAGCACAATTGTGCCACAGCACTGATGGCATATGACACCATAGTAAGATGATGTGCCAGGGTGATGCCAAAGGCTGGGTGTGATGCCCCGGGCGCCACTTGACAGCTAAGGAAACTCAATGCGTCTGTAGCCTGATTACAGCACCACTAAATGAGGGTCATTTTAATAATCTTGTGATCCTGCGGTATGTTGTTGGTACTTTATCATCACTATAAAGACGATGATCGTGAGTCTTTGCTAGAACTATTAAGCTAATAGTGTAGCTTTTATAAAAATGCCAAATAGTGCCAGAGCAGAGAGATGCGAGACTATCTACTTTATCAGGCATATCCACAGGGCATTTTGCCAACATTAGGTAATAATAAGAATACATTCAAGAAAGATGCTATGTTTATGTTTATCATATTATGATGTACAAGAAGGCTTGACAAACGGGTTGTAAAAGCCAGATAGTAAATATTTTCAAACCACAAGGTAAAATCTAGGATATTTTATGTTCTTATATGACAACAGAAACAAGATTCAACAAATGCTTATGGATGAAATTCAAAGTGTAACAATATTTAGTACTTCCCTGGTAAGAGTATTACTAAAGAAAGGAATGGAATTCTTTGTGGGGGGAAGAACGTTTTGCTTAATTATGTCTCAAAATTAGCAATGCCGATCATCAAAATTAATTATTCCTAATGCTCATTTGTTAATTTTCTTTCTGGAAATGTATTTTTACACAGATATACACGGCCAAATACTAATACCAATCCATGAACTTATATTTCTTAAATTCTGCTTTTATTTGATTAAGTTGTTCTTTAAAGAAAATTCAGAATACTTTTTACAGAAAAGTTGCAAAGATAGTACAGAATTTCCATATATACCTCACTCAGGTTCCTCTTCTGTTTTTCTATTTTAACGCTAATACATATATTTTAACATATTAATAATTCACCGAGGACTGCAGATGTAGCTCAGTGGTCAAGTGCTTGTCCGGCATGCGGGAGACTCAGTTCAATCCCCAGCATTACAACCAATAAACAAAAAAAATTTACGTCAGAATGAAACCTCCTTCTGCAACTAACGGGTGCTAATAAAATTGTGGGGTAATTTTACTTTTTTCAAGTGTGTGATTGCATGACTATTCATATATTTACAGAGGGTTGTGGCTATCAGTAGAAATTAGTTTTAAAACATGTGATTTTCAGTTAATCCTCATTCCTAGTCCTAGTCCAGGAAATGACTACCTTACTTTTTGTTTTCATAAATTTCCCTATTCTACACATTTTATGTAAATGAAATCACACAATATGTGGTCTTTTGTGTCTGGCTTCTTTTACTTTAATAATATTTTTGAAGTTAACCAGATTGTAGCAGGTGTACACACACACTTCCTTACTTTCATTGCTGAATAATATTTCGCTTTATGGGCAACATTTTTGTCTGTCTACTTACTAGGTAAAAAAATTTAGGTTGTTTCCAGTTGTTGGCTATTAGGATGAATGCTCCTAGAACATTCATGTGTTAGTCTTTGTATGGACATACGCTTTAATTTCTGTTGAGTAGATACCTAAGATAATTAATAAGTCATAGGAGAAATTTATGTTTAACTTTTCAAGAAACTGCAAAACTTTTCCAAATTGGCAGCACTATTTTTTATTTGCAATAGGAACGTAGGAGGGTTTCAGTTGCTCCACAACCTAAGAAGCATTTGTTGTTAAGTCACTGTTGTTGTTTTGCGTTGCTTTGTTTTTTTTGGGGGGGGATTGTTTTGATTTTTTTTTTGGTCAGTCATGGGGCTTGAACTCTGGGCCTGGGCGCTGTCCCTCAGCTCTTCAGCTCAAGGCGAGCACTCTACCACTTGAGCTACGGCACCACTTCCGGTTGTTTTGATTTTTGAGACAAGGTTTCTGTATGTAGCCCAGGCTGGCCTCAAACACATGATGATCCTATTTCTCCTACCATAGAGCCTCCTGAGTGCTAGGATTACAAATGTATGCCACCACGCCCTCAGCCTTGACTATTTTTTTTTTATTACAGCCATTCTGAGTAGGTGGGAAGAGATATCTCATTGTGGTCAAATTTGTATTTCTTTTATGACTAAGGATGATGAGCATCTTTTCATGTGCGTATTAACCATGTGTATATTTTCTGTAGTGAAGTTTGTCATTTTTCCATTTTAAAATTGAGTTTTATTTAATTGTTAAATTTTAAGAAGTGTTTCTATGTTTTAGATACGAGGCTTTGCCAGGTATGGGATATAAAAATACTTTCCCCTTGTGGACTTCGTTTAAAAAATACAGATCTCGACAGAATGACTTTAAACTTTTGTTTCTCCTGCCTTTATTTCTTGAGTATTGGGATTACAGGTGTGTTCCACCATGTTAGGCCCATTTCCATTTTCGTAACAGTTTCTTTTGAAGTAAAAAGTGTTTTGATTTTGATGTGGTCCAATTAATCAATTGTGTTTCTTGTATGGGCAATTCTTTTAGCATTATGCCTAACAATTGATAGCTTAATCTTAGATTTCAACAATTTTCTTTTAGTGGTTTTATGTCTTATTTCTTTCATTTAATCCTATAATGCATTTTGAGTTAATATTTGTGTACGGTCTTAGTTGAGCTCATTTCTGTTTATATTTTTCCATGTGGATATCCCAATTGTTTTGGCACTTTTGCTGAACCTACTATCCTATTTTTGTCACAGATGATAAACCTATATTGATATTTTACTCTTAACTCTACACCAAATTTATTCTAGCTCCAATTGTTTCTCACAGCCGTATTCCATTCAGTCATTGTTTCTTTAGCATATTTTAGTAGTGACAGTTTCTGAGACGTTTTTTAAAATTTTGATCACATTGATACTTTGAAGCATACTTGTGAGGTATTTTGTAGGGAATTCCTCAACTTCAGTTTGCCTTTTGTGTGTCTGATTTTCATAGTTGTGTTATATCTTTTAGAGGAAGTCTACAGAGATAAAATGTCATTTTCATACACTATCAAGTGTACACATAATTGTCTTTTGGCATTTATGGGTGTTTAAGTTGTCCTTTACTAACTTTTCATTGTTGTGAATATTGCTGCTATAAACATTTGAATAGAAGTTTCTACGCAGGCATATTTTCAATTGTTTTGCATACACATCTAGAAGTAGAATGGCTGGGTCACATTAGAACACTATAGTTAACTTGTTGAGGGAGAGACAGATTGAACTCTAACAAAGTGGCTATACCATTTTATCTTCCCATCAGTAATATAATAGGATTCAATTTCTCTACATCTTTACCAATACTTATTAATAACTTTCTTTTTTTATTATAACAATTGTAGAGGGTATGCAGAATATGCAGATATATCTCATTATTGTTTTATTGTTTGATTTGTCATAGCATAGGAAGCATATAAAACATCTTGCCATTACTCATAATTCAAGCAATATTAGCTATTAAAATAACTTTACTACAGTACAAGCTTCATATATGAATTTATTCTACCTTGTAATTTTAGGTTGAAATAAGTCAGGAACATCATCAAGCCTGCACCAAAACTCAATTTCAAAGCCAATGTTCAATAATATTGGCTAAAGGCAGTTCTTCTTACATTTTAAAATGTAAAAGTCATTCTTGTACAACTAGAGAAGGGATGAGTTTAGCCTTCTGGATGAAATTTGCCAATTACTGAGTAGAGCAAAAGTGCCTTGTATACAGTTCATGTTTGGTAAATGTTTATCTAGTTTATAGAGTTTTTTTAATTGAAGTATAGTATGCTTGTAGTATTGTATTCAAAATGGACTGGATATAGTGACATTTCACCATAATAATACATCAGGGTATTGGATCTGATTGCTAAAAAATCTTATGGATAAAGAGCTCCAAATGTTTCTCCTACTGAGTGATTTGTTTGAATCATGGTTTTTCATAGATGGTATAATGTGCTTTGATTTGATTTGATAGACATGATGGTTAACTTTTAATTCTGAGCCCCCCTCAAGGCTCTGTTTTTGAAAGAGAAAAGATAAATAGATCTTACTGGAGAACACTTTGTCTTTTTTGTTGCTGGCCCCAAGTTGTGAAGGAACAATGTGATTGCTGTTTATGTCCATCAAGGGACAAAAGGGTTTCTGTTAGGGTCTTGGGTGTTGTTAGGGTCTGACTGCTGCTCATTTGATTAAATGCTCCCTATTGCCCCCTTTTTTACTGGTCAGCTAGATTCTAGGTCCTAGAACCAGCCAAATTAACCTTCTAGACATAAAAGATAACTAGCATTTATGCATCACCTGTATTAGATATTGAGCTTAGACCATGTAATCCTTACAACAACCCTAAAAGGTAGGTTAGCCCATATCTTTTTTAAATAAGCAAAAATGCACAGAGAAGTGAAATAACATACCTAGTATAATTTGAGGGTAAAATAGAAAGTCAGTCCTTTACATTTCCACCATTATATCTACTGTAACATATTGCTAAATATTGC